AGAGAAAAGAAACAAGAAAAAAGGAGAGCGTAGAAGTGGAGGAGGAGAGAACGTTTTATACGTAACATTTGAAGAAGACCATCAACTTCTGCAGCCCTATACCCTCCCGCGCCGTGTGCTGAAAATTGCTGCGCAGATAACAACGGCAGTAATACGTAAAAAGAACGCAGTTTGTGTTACGCAGTTTTGCCGCAACCGTTGGCTACCGTACCTGTAAGCGGCATGTCTCGGCAGCCATTGGTTTCACTTGGACAGCCACCGCTGACTCCGCCCACCGCTTTTCCGCTGTGGACGACAGCGGAACGACGGGGCTCGCAAATTGCACAGGGCCAACGGAACGATAGTGTTGAAGAGTTTTAGGCAGGGGACGAGAGGGGAGGGCAGAGCTGAATGAGTAGAGATTGGGAGGAGGAAGTGCGAGAGGGATTGGAGGAGAAGAGATGGAAGATGGAGGGGAAGGGGGAGTCGAAAATTGGAGTACTGAAGAAACACTTTTTGGTTGTTGCTGTGTACAGAGTGATTTATTGCCCATTTCGCAGTGCTTTGGCTACAATATTATTTTTTTCAACGTTTTCTCTCGTTTCTGCTTTTTTTGTCTTGCTTTAGCTATTAATTTTTTTATTTAATTTTTTCTCTTTTAAAATATGCTTCTGACTTGTTGAAAACTTCAAAAGAACTGTTTGTCCAGCATATTTCCATTTTTTCCGCCTATCTTTCATTTGAGCAAATTACCAAAATGAAACATTTGTTTTGGCTTGAATATTGATAGATATGTTTGAACTTTTTCTTTTTCTATTGTTGGCTGGTATACTGCAATAGAAGATGGCAAAAGTTGTTATAAGCAAAATTTAAGGTATTAGTGTTGCTATTATTGTTATTATTGGCGGTGGATGTGGTGGTGGTGCTGATAGTAATGGTGATGGCGGTGCACAACTGAAATAGCTGTTCTGAAAAAGTTCCGTCTACCATCCATCTATTCATTCATTTATCCATTCATCCATCAGATTCTTCTGTGATCATCCGCTAAACTATTGGTCATTTTTACAGCGTCTGTTTGCTAGTTGCTAATGCTGCTTTCGAGTCTGCTTTTCACTGATTACCGTTATGTCATTTGACGGATGATCCATCCTTCTGTTCATTCTTCTATTCATCCATCTAACCATCTATCCATTTGCAAATGTACCCGCGTTTATCATCGTCATTGTTGTTATCATTATAGTTATTATTATTGCTATTAACATTGTTATTATCGTTTTACAGTTATTCTTCATTATCATTACATTAAAAAATGATTAACAAATCAATCAGTCATAAAACGAGCAAATAAGCGAAAAAAAAAAAAAAAAAAAAAAAAAAAAAAAA